ATATTAATTATAAACTGTTTGGCCTATAGCTTAGGCTTCTTATTGGCTAACTCTCTTTTAATTATTAAACTCATTTCTATTAATCTGTGTGTCTCCACATGGTCTTGGCTTACAGGTCATACCCGAGTCTCTTGCTTTCTCGCCAGCTCCATGGTACCTCCCTAGTGACTCACTCTGTGTGTTCCTCTCCCCCCATTCGCCTAGTTTGGTAGCCCTGCCTATACCTCCTGCCTGGCTACATCCTTCTGTCCATTGGTTGAAAAAAGCTTTATTCATCAACCAATAAGAGAAACATATATTCACAGCATTCAGAAAGACATCTCCCATCAGCCAAAAAAAAAAGAATATATATGTGTGTTCATAATCATAAATATAGCAACAATTAATGAAAAACCATAAATTGAAAGAAAGCAAGGAGGGGTATATGGGAGGCTTTGGAGGGAGGAAAGGACCAAGGAGTAAATGATGTAATTATATAAATTATCCTTCAAAATAAAATAATTAATTAGAATATGTTGATATATGTAATAAAAATCAACTTTGTAATAATTCAAAATATGCCTCAAAGGACATTGTAAGAAACCCTGTACGGGATGGGAGTATTTCCAAATACATGAAACTTGTATCTTGAGTATATAAAGTACAACTCAGGAGTAAAATGACAGGTAATGCTTTTTTTTTTTTTTTTATTACGAGACAGGGTTTCTCTGTTTTGTTTTGGAGGCTCTTGGTCCAGCCTGGCCTCGAACTCACAGAGATCCGCCTGCCTCTGCCTCCCGAGTGCTGGGATTAAAGGCGTGTGCCACCACCTCCCGGCAGGTAATGCTATTTTTAAAGGATCCAAATTAAATACTTTTAAAAAGAGAATATGCAGATAGTCACGAACACATAAAATGATGCTCACTATCATTTAGCTATGTAAGAAATTCTGATCAAAACTACATACCTCTAAGAAATATCCCAAAACAACAAAGCTGCAAACTTCTTCACACCACTGTAGCATAACTAAAGTCTTAAAGGATGAGACTTTCATGGGAACAGGTACTAATAAAGCAGCTGGGGAAAACAGTTTATAACTCTTGTGAATGTCAACTGTAGAGGTATCACATGACCCAGCCCAGCAAGTGATAGGAAAACAAGTCTTTCTACAAAGACGTCTCTGTAGGTGTTCCTGACAGCATTAGCCAAGGTCACGAAACTATACAGACACCTCCCACCCACACATCTATCAGCTAATGAGTGGATATTTAAGTGCAGTGTATCCATACAGTGGAATATCAAGAACCCACATTATGCTTCCATTTGAATTAAATCACCAGCTATAATAATTCGTAGGTCAGGTGTGATCTGTAGCAATAGGAAGTAGGTTAATGATTGCCGAGAACTGGGGATAAGAGAGAAACTAGAGAAGGAACTGCTGCTAATGGGTGTGTGGATGTCCCCCGGGATGATAGAAACGTAAAAGTTGTGGTAATGGTTGAATTACTCAGGGAATATACTGTAAATCACAGTCGTACGTTTTATTTTCTCTTTTGTGACAGTGTGGATAAATGCCAAGGCCTCATACCTACTACACAAGTGTTTTACTACCTAGCTACATTCAGCTCTGAAAGACACACTTCAGTGCCATGAGTTGTATGGTATTTGAGTCTCACTCAGTAAAGCTCGGAAGCAGGTGGATGACTCTGAATACCTAACTGAATTTTACTGTTCTTAGCTGGGACTGCACTTAAGTTAGAGTTGCTTTTTCCAGGTCTGTTTCCCTTAGTCTGTAAATCTGAACCTTTCCAGAGTTTTGGTTGGCTCTTCAAGTGTGTTAACTTCTTTGGACAGCCCAGTCTTTGCTGTGTTTCCCTTCCATTCAATTAGTTGCTCTCACCACACACACACACACACACACACACACACACACACACACACACACACACACACACACACAATTATTCAAAAGGGCCTAGAGTCTTCTTTCAGCTCTTTGTTTCATTTTCCATTTTTCATTTATAAATGAAAGGTATTCTGCTAAGAATGAGTTTTGGGGACTGGAGAGATGGCTCAATTCCCAACACCCACATGGAAGCTCACAACTGTCTGTAACTCCAGTTCCAGGGGATCCTACACTGTCACACAGACATACATGCAAGCATATTAAGATTAAAAAAGAATGAGTTTCTATCAGATATAGTGGCATATGCCTTTAATCTCAGCATCCAGAAGGCAGAGGCAGGTGGGTCTATGTGAGTTTGAGGCCAGCCTGGTCTAAAGAGGCAGTGCCAGCTGTGGCTGCATAGTGAGACTTTGTCTCTAAAAAAAAGAAAAAGACGCCGGGCGGTGGTGGTGCACACCTTTAATCCCAGCACTCGGGAGGCAGAGGCAGGCGGATCTCTGTGAGTTCGAGGCTGGGCTGGACCGATAGCCTCCAAAACAATACAGAGAAACCCTGTCTCGTAAAACCAAAAAAAAAAAAAAAAAGAAAAAGAAAAAGAAAAAAAAAAATTCTAAAATATGTGTTTGAAGTTTAATGATGGGGGTTGGAATCTTCAGTGAAGTCTATGTAGAAAATTATGCTGTGCTTTTATTTGTTCATTTGTTTGCTTTAAAGATGTAAAGTTTGTCTTTGATAAAGTTTTTGAGCAGGAGATTAAATATTTTTTAGTAAGTACTGAGGTTACATTGTGGTTTACTGTGAATGTTGGTGAAGGAGTATGATTGGGAAGAGAGGAGGCCAAGGAGACACTAGGACAGTTGTAGGCGGAAAGTAAGAACTGGCGTAAGAGGAAGTGTGAAGTAAGCATCTTCTCACCTCCTGCCTAGCCTCGTCCTGGACCTTTGGAGGATCTCCTTCCTCCCTTCTTCCTCATCACTTCTCACCGTTCCTGTTAATATTCAACTGTCACAGTTGCTTCCTCTTCCTAGTAATGCTGCTTATGTCTCTTCCTTGCCCCATGTTTTTCTTACCTCATTTTAATTCCATGCTACCCCTTTCTGAACTCTCTGTTTGTTGTTTGTTGGAGACAGGCTGGGTTCTTGTGCCCAGGTTGGTTTTGAACTCACCTGATAGCTGAGGCTTACTGGAAGCTCCTGCCCCTCCTGCCTTTCAGGTGCTGAGGTTACAAGCTTACACTCACCACTCACTTTCCCTGCTCATTCTGAGATTTCTATCTTAAATTTCTTACTCCCATTTTCCTAGTCTTTAGAAAAGTTTGTGTGTGTGAGTGTGTGTGTGTTTGTGTGTGTGTATGAGTGTGTGTGTGTGTGTGTTTTGCTAAGGGAACCCTGGTTTACAGGAATTTTCATGTTCCTCATGGCCTTACACTCCTTTTCCACAAACAGCTTTTCTAAGTCCTTGCCTTTCTGTCTCTGGCTTTTCTGGGCTCGTCCTGAAATATCAGGCTCCAATCTCAGTGCTCCTTGGTATCTCATGCTCACATCTTACCTACTTAATCTGCGCAACCCGTGGAAGATGCTGTGTTGTAAGATAAAGCAGTCTGTGTCTTTTCTTTGCAGATACATGCATAGTTGTACTTATTGGATCAGTTGGGATTGGAGATGAGGCTAAGGTTTAGAAATTGCTTTATAAGGAATCCCAGGAGTTTTTAGCTAAAAATATACTTTTCCTTTTCCTTTATATGTATGGGTGTTTTGCCTGCATGCATGTGTTTACACCACGTGTATGCAGTACCTGTGAAGGCCAGAAGAGGACATCGGATTCCCTGGGACTGAGTTACAGCTGATTGTGAGCTGCTATGTAGGTGCTAGGAATCAAACCCTGCCCTCTGGAAGAACAGCCAGGCCTCCTAACTTATGAGCCATCTCTCCAGCCCCCTTTCTTTTTTCTTTTCTATTCTACTCTTCTTCTTTTTCATTAAACAACAAATATATTTAGTGCATTTTTAAAAATTTGGTTTTTTGTGTATTTGTTTGTTTGAGATGGGGTTTCTCTCTGTAGTCCTGACTGTCCTGGAACTCATTCTGCAGACCAGACTGGCCTCAAACTCAGATCTACCTTCCCCTTCCTCCTGAGTGCTGTGATTAAAGGCATGCACCACCACTGCTTGACTCTTTTATTTATTTTTTTATTCAAGTTAGGTATTGGCATTTCAAAAAGTATCTATAGGTTTACCTTATAAGTAAGAAATTATAAGATGTGGATCTCTAAAACTTAATAAAATGTTTTAGGAAATAGAATTGTGAAAGAAATATAAGAGTAAGCCAAAGAAAAAACATTTGTCAGTTAAAAGCCATAAAACAATGGTTCTCTTCCTTGCTCAAACGTGCATTATGAATTGAAGAAGTCATAGAGTGATAGGCTGGAAAGTTAAAGAAAAAGCAAACTATATTGTCAGCAATATGCAGTTTTATCCCAAAGGAAGATGTATGCGAATGTAAATACTCCAGGACAGTGGTCAGCAGATGTGCTGGTGCTTTCTCTTTGTGCTTGCTGTGCTCCTAGCGTTCTTCTGTAATGAGTGGGCATTGCATTCTATAAGAAAGGGTGTTGTCTGTTTGCTGCTGTGTTTTAAGTATTAGCAGTAGGTGGAAAGAGTAACTACTCTGAATATAAGCTTAGTGGAATTGGTGGTGTGGGAGATAAAGAGCATGAGGAGAAGCCTCAGATGCAGCTGTCCCTGCAGCACTGTAGTTTCTGCCTTTCTTTAGCTTGTGTTTGTCTTTGTCTCCTTAGCATGAGTTTCCAGACTTTTGAATGATGTCTGAGTCTTGGATTTGTTAGGATGGAACTAGAAAGTTTGTTGCTGAGCTTGGAGAAATAATTTTGATGTAATTACTTTGTGTGAAAGTTGTCATTTTTTATTGAGATATCTACACATGTAGAATCAGGCCTGTATTTGACTTCTCATGAATGAAGAGATCAGAGTTTGTGTCTACTTTAAGTCAAACTGTATAGATAAAACAAATCCATAGAATCTTTTCTCTAAGTGAGGTGGTAAAGGAAATTGTTTCTGTTCATCTCTATGTAAAAACAATTTATTCTTTATTCCCAGATTAGAAATGATACTTGCCAAATTTGATGAAGTACAAAATTCGGGCGGTATGGTTTTGAGTGTCTGCAAAGGTAAGAGTAATTAAGTTCTTCCAGCTCGTAAACATTTCTGAGATGACTTAGTCAAGTATTAGACACCAAGTGTGTTTGCAACCCAAGTATGCATCTTTAATTTTAAAAGCGTTGATTTTATAGCTTGTAAACTACAGGGTGTAACAGTGAACTCTCAGTCCAGAGTCTGCACCTTCTCTGAAGCGCTGGAGTTGTGAAGATTTCACAACAGGGATAATGTCTCTGTCATACTTTTGTCTTCATAGTTAATGGTTGATAACCCCCTTGTGCTTTGTTTCATGTGTGAAATGTGTTTTTACAGTTGTAGTAATTTATCTTGCTGCCTTTAGTAGAGATTGTGGGGTTGATTGGCCTTCTTGACCAATGTGCAGATTTTGAGTGAAAATATTAGAGAAGAAACAAGCAGTAATTTTACTACAGTAGTCATCTTTGCTTAGGTGGAATGTGAGGCCTAGTAGAATTCAGGAAGGTTGGAATTAGTCTGTATCCACATATAGTAGGCATTTATTTGATTTTGTGATTCCTTCCTTTTTAATAATATTGATAAGTTGTGTTTTGTTTTACTGAGTAGCATTTACCTAAACTGTATTCATTAGCCATATTTGTGAAGAATATATTCTGTTCCCAGTGATAATAATTTTTTTCCCTCAAGTGGGGAAAGCAGCTTCGCATCAGAATGTGGGTTAGCTTCACAGAGTAAATGATGTTGAAGAAAAATTTTGTCGTATGAATTTGAAGTCATACAATAGGAAAACTAGTTCAAAATATAATTTAGGCTTTTTCTCTGTTCACTTGAGGTTGGGCTTTGTTGTATTGCAGGGAGTCTGGTGGAGTGACAATTAGGTGTTACGGAGATCATGTATACCTAATCTAAACTTAGGTCTCAAGCACGCAGTGACTTCATTGCTGCCAGTTCTCACTCAGACAGCAGTTTCTCACGTCTCTCCTCTGAATAGAAGGTGTTCAAGAGCTGCATCCTAATTTGTCTTGTAGTTGTCTTTGTTGGTGTCTGTAGAAACCAGAGCAGCAGGAAAAGGACTAGTTGTTAAATATTTCTGACTTGAGGTTTTCAGTAGCACTCCTTGTGCTCCATTCTGTTTGGTTACAACTAAGGAAGTCTTTGGTATATATTATAGAGTTAAAGGAGTCACTGTTTAAATGTGGATCATTTTGGAAGTGTGGTTGCTGTTGTGTTTGGTGAGATTATAACTGCTACTTTCAGAAGGGGAGCTTTTTTGTTCTTTGTTCCATTTCTTTTCTCCTTTTTCTCTCTGTAAATACAGCAGCTTAGGTCTAGAGTCTGGCATTTATTTTTTTTGGAGGGAGTCCCAAAGATTGTCTTGGAGATTATGATGTAAATATTGCGAGTCTAGTTGAATATGAAAGTTAAAATTGTCTATAATACACATATCGAATATAGGAGTTAGTTGAAATTTTTTCTGTTTTCAGTTAAACTTTTTCCCCCCTGAGATGGTTTCCCTGTGTAGCTTTGTCTTGGAACTCACTCTGTAGACCAGGCTGGCCTCAAACTCAAGAGATCCATCTTCCTCTGTCTCCCAAGTGCTGGGATTAAAGTCGTGTGCTACTACTGGCTGGCTCAGTTAAGATTTTTTAATGACAGACAGTGTACTAAACTCCATAGCTGTGGCTCTCCATTTGTGGATGGCACACCCATGATTCAGGAACCACACATCACATGCTTGGGATGAGTATATTATTACCTCAAAAGTGTGGTGTATTGTTCTAGGCTGTCTCAAATGTATACCATTTTATATAAGAAAGATGAGCATCCTTAGGTTCCTGGAACCAATCCCCTGTTGTTACAGAGGAATGACTATATTATGTTGTCATTGAAAAATTCCTTTATGAATTAGTTAACAACAGAGGAAACTAGAAGAAGGAAACCCATTTGTCATGTTGGCTAATCTTAGGGCTCAGGTTACCTTTCCTGTGATTTAATCTCTCTCTCACTGATCCAGTCCTGACCAATGACTAGCAAATTCTTTGTTGATGGCTCCCAAAGATAGTTCTAGCTGTTGCTATCTCTTCTTGATTCTCTACTTTTGGTAGCTTGGGGTCTTGATGACATTGCTATTTGGATATTTGACACTTCAGGTTCATCATATCCAGAAACAACCCTGTTGGTGTTCTGGTTCATGCGTTCCTGTTCTCCCTTACCCCTTCTACACCCCTCTCCTCCCCTTCCTCTCCTTGCCTGCCCCTCTCCCCCTTCCAACCCTTCCCCTTTATCCCTACAGGGTCTCACATGGCCCTGCTGGCCTCTAACTCTGTGTAGCAGAGTATGACCTTGGACTTCTGATTCTCCTGTCTCTACCTCACAAATACTAGACTTATAGGCATGTGCTACCAGGCCTCGCTCTGTTTTTCTTCTTAATCCTTAAATCTGTCTCTTCCCCAGGTTAGTCATTTCAGTTAGTTGTATCACCAAGGTGAAACTTGGCTTAATTTCCCATTCTGGTCAACTAGTTGGTCATTTCTACCTCTGATATACAAACTTCGGTCCTGTTCGCTTGTTTTTTCATTGTCACTATCAATACCCTGGACCACTGCAGGAGCCTTAATGATCCATGTCAAAAACATACATAGTGTGGTAACAGCATTGGGGAAAATACAGATATTTCTTGTTCATGAAATTTGTATTCTTCCTAAAGACCCTGCTGCCAAGTAGGAGATCATTAAGTGAAAAAACAAATTCCACTAATATTAACAAGGGCAATTCTTTATAGTACATTTTATTCTAACTCAGGATACTTAAATAATTTTTAGGTGTTCAAAATTATGTTAGTTGGTAACTCTTGGAGAAGTCCACTCCTATGCTTTCAGGTGTGTGTGAATTCCCAAATGACTCTTTTTGTCTACTAATACCTGTCTTTAAAGACCCTAATTCTGCTTCATCTTATACATACACCCTGATAGAACAGTCCCACCCACTCAGCTGCTTGTGGGGCTGAGGGAGCAGGAGCTGGAGGTCCAGACTTGTCTGGGAGCATTAGTGGGGATGGAGCTAGAGCTCAGTGAGAATATTCACCTGTATACAGAGCTGTCAGTTCAGTCCCCAGTAGTGCTAAAACAGTTGTTACTTGAGCAATGAAAACATTTTTTGTAGGCCGTAATAGGAAGACCAGTAGTTTGTGTAAAAAGTAATTAAATGAAAGTTTATTCGACTCTTTTTATTTCTGTTTCTTTTTTTTATGCCCCACAGAGTTTTTAGCCCTTTGTTGGTTCTGTTTTATTACATACTTAAACTAAAAAGTAAACTTATAGAGAACAAAACATTTTAGGGTGAAATAAATGCATGCTGTGAAGATATGTGAAAATGGGTCGTTTGCACAATAGGATGATGGTTCCTAAAGATGCTACCTCTTCTTTCTCACATGATGTCTGTGTACCCAAGGGAAATTATCTTGGGCTCTTCTGATATGGTATAAGTTTTAAATTTGTTCCACACGGTCATCTGTAACCAGAAACTATTATGGCAAATAACACTGTTTTGTGTCTTTTCCAGAGACTGTAGTAATAGAATGGCATGTCTTGCAGTATAGTGATTTAAAGTGTTTGGGATGAAAAATATAAACAGTAAAATCCAGGAGATTTGTTGCAAAGGTAGTATAACTTTTTTATATATCATCTGAATGGTCATTATGTGAAGAAAATAGAATACTGAAGTTATAAGTAATTTGAGGATGTTAATTCAGTCTCTTTCGAGAAGTGATATATTTCATTTGAGACCCGATACATAGAATAATCAGTCAAGGAATAATTGTCAGGAAAACACGTTGGCCAGAAGAAAATAGTGACTATGAAAACCCAGAGGTGAGGGCTGGAGAGGTGGCTCAGCCGTTAAAGGCTAGTCTCACAACCAAAAATGAAAGCCCAGAGGTGAACAGGACTTGGTTATTGAAGAACATAGAGACCAGGGCTGCCTGGAGCCCAGTCAGGGAGAGGAAACAGTGTCTGAAGGGTGTTGAACAAGTGGGCAAAACTGGGCCCTGAGTGTCCCATAGGTGAGGAGAATTTTGGTAGGCTTCTAGAGGTAGGAGAGGGCCATGTACAGTGGGTAGGGTGGAGTAACACTGTCTTCTTGGCTTTATTGTTCAGAGAAAGCCTGTTCTCTTGCTCTTCTCGTGAGTCCTGGTGCATAGTTGTTGTACATCATGCTTTTGCCTCTGGTTTCTTTCATAATTGTCATTGCAATGCTCTTGATTGAAGCTCTGATTAAATTCCTTAGTTTTAGAAGCACTAGCTGAGCAGAGTCAAGAACATTAAATTAAATTATCAGATTGGACCATATACTATTTGGTTTAGGAAATAGTGAGAAGTGCACATTTGTTTTTTCCTGAGGATTTTAAGAAGCTGAACTTTAATTTTCATGTTACAAGGCAAGTTGGTGAAGTCCCTAAGTGCAGCAGAATTAGCTCTGCTATTAGAAGGAGAATGTAATTAAAACTAAGCATGTTATGGCTGGAAGGTCAGCACCAGCCCAAGATGAAAAGACTACAAGTTGTGTTCTCCTGTGATTGTGGTGAGACCTGGTATTAGCATGGAGCTTTCTAGACAGTCTCCTACACTAACAGGGATGTAAATACCAACAGTATTGGTGGCTATGGCTATTTCTTTTTTCTCTTTCATTGTGAAAATACTGTGTATAATTTGTCTAATGTCCTTGTAGGACCAAGTGCAGTTTGACTTGTAATCACGGTAGAGTAATTTGCAGTTTCTCTGAGACAGTTGCGCAGAGAATTATTTACGTTAGAGACTGGCAATAAAGTAAAGCTTAGGCGCTGGCTTTAGGCTGTAAATTGCCGTGGTGTTCAGCTTATGAGTCAGTACTGTAACTTCAGTCCAGTTTCGTGTATTTTCATAGCATGCTCTTTGGTGGCAAGAGGAGAAGCTCTTTTCTTAGTTTGATTTAAAAACATATCTCTGTGTGGCCGTGAGCCCCAGGGCCTTCTCAGGACTCGATAAAGTAGTGATGGCTG